TCCCCAAGAGCCACACCCACCTCCCCATACCAATCCAAACAGCTCACACCCTCACAACCCCACACCCATCCACACACCCTTACCACACAACCCCCAACCACACCCTACACATAATATACAAGAGTAAGCCTTTATTTTGCGCTATTATGGAAATCACCTGTAGATACATACTACATAAATGTATGTAAATCAGGACAAAAATATTTTTTTAAAATAAAACCGAAATATGTTAGAGCAGATGTTTGATTTTTAGTATACTTCATAGATTTCACAGACATTAGGGCTGGAAGGTACCTCAAAAGATCAAGTCCAGTCCCCTGCCCCAGGGACAGGAACTCAGTTAGGGTCAAAGGATCCCAGCAAGATAAGCTTCCAAATGTTTCTTAAAAGAGTTCAGAGTAGGTGCCTGCACCACCTCTGGAGTCAGTCTGTTCCAGACCTTGGGGGCTTGGACAGTAAAGAAGATTTTCCTTATGCCCAGCCTAAAACAGTCTTGGAGAAGGTTGTGACCGTTGGTCCTTGTCATCCCTGGGGGTGCTCTGGTGAACAGACATTCCCCCAGATCCTGATGCAAGCCTCTTATGCGCTTATAGGCTGCTACCAGGTCACCCCTGAGCCTGCGCTTTTCCAGGCTGAAGAGTCCCGTGGCTCTCAGACTCTCTTCATAAGGCCTATTCTCTTTCCCTCTGATCATGTGTGGCTCTCCTCTGAACTCTCTCAAACTTCTCCACATCCTTCTTGAATTGTGGACCCCAGAATTGGATGCACTACTCCAGCTGTGGCCTCACCAAGGCTGAGTGCTGACATCCTGAGATTTACTTGAGAAGTATCTATGGATGCAAGCCAGATTTGTTTTCTTTCTGTTCCAAGACAGCACCTGCCCTGACTTCCAAAAGGAGCACTTTGAGGGGCAAGGGGAAGGCCTTCTGGTGACAAGGATCAGGAGTTAGGGACAGGACTTCTGGTCCCAAAATGATGATCAGGGGGCAGGGCACCTGTTAAGGGACAGCGCTAACACTGTGGCACTTGACAGCTCAACAAAACTCAGGAAGTAGCCCTCCAGCTGAAATAATTGCCCACCCCTGCTGTAAACCAATATCATGGATGTGGGAGGCATGCACATGAGTGGAATTGTTATATAACCTGAATGATCCAGCAACAGTGAATGGTTCCACTCTAGCCAAAGAACAGCTATTCATACGTCATTTTATTCACACCACCACTATTCTCCAAGGAATTGAATGCAAAGGACCACATTTTTCATACAGTGAACAGAATGTGTTTAGTTTTCAATCAACAAAAGGAAGGAAAAATGTGATGCAGCTCTGTTTGGAAATTCTTAACAGATATAACCCACTCCTATCTTTACCAGAAATGAAATTATGAGCAATAAAATATATTAACAAAAACTGAACTTTTCCAAAGATATAGGTACAAAATATGTCAGTGACCAATTATTAAGCTACTCTCTCCTAATTATTATGTATTTGCATCTCACTTTAGAAGCCACTGCCTAATAAAATAATACTTTGTTTCTTCTTGTGCTGTCACCACAGGCATGTTTTTTAGGGTGCATCTGACTCTCTTTCACAAGTGTCAGGAATTTATTTTGACACCAGCAGATTTAAGACTGTCAAATTCATTCATTTGTTTAACTATACACAGCAATTAAAAAAGAAATATGGGTTAAACTGCACATATTGAAAAGATATTAATTAAAAATATTTTAAGATCTCTGAAATTTCACCCCTTGTTATGCTAATTCACAGAATTAGAGATATTTTTCCTACTCATTTCAATGTTCATTGACATTTATTGAACATTTCTTGGAATACTGTAAAACAGAATGCTGACAAATGATTTTCAAAATGGCAAGATATCTTTGTGCTAATGGAGAGTTCCACTGTGACATACAACAGCTCATTGTCTCTTTTTTAGTAATAAAATTAGAAGAATAGACAGTAAATACATAATTAAGAATTTTGGGGAGGTCATCTTGAAAAGTGGTCCTCTCATACCTGGCTGCCTCGTAATGAGAAAAAAAAAAACAACTAAAAAAACTGCTATATCAATAGCATTTCACCCCGCTTAAAATTAAATGTATACATGGTATAGAAACAGGCAAATTTTGGAGAGTGTGTGGTCAGTTGGAAGGATTCTACCAAATGTGGTGCGACATGCCAGAATTAAGCTGTTCTGGAAAAAAGGCTGGAGACATGGTGAGGGAACTAACAGGATGTCAACTATCAGATAACCCCTTGGCCCTACTGAACCTTCCTGAGAACTCTGTAATACAAGTGTTATAGGGAATTGACCACATCTTCCAGTGGCTGCAACAACTGCAACTGCAAAAGCCTGGAAAAGTAGTGATACCCCTAAAAATCACTGACTGGGTTTAAAAGAAAAGAAAAGAAAAGAAAAAAACCGAAACTTTGGGAAGTTTTAGGACAACCTTTCCGTTACTATCAATTCAGTATTTTACAGACCAAAAAAGACAAAAATGCTTACTTGGAAATCTAGCAGAAGTTCTGGAATTTGCTAAAAAAATAAAAATAAAATAAAAACTCTCCTGCCTCCACACCAGGAAGTTTAGAAAACAAGTTTGACTATTAAAGTACAAGTTCTATGTGCTAACACATAAGAATAAATTTAGAATAAATTTAATATTTAAAAAGCACAGATGAGTAGAATATAATGACACTGGTGTTGTACAGGAGCTCTAGCGAAGCAGGAAGGAAAAGTTAAAAAATTAATTTCGACAGAAAAAAAAAGTTATGGAGAATTACATCAGCTATTACTTGAATAGAGGAGATGAGTTTTTACATCCAGATTGGAAATTAAACTTTTCAATTTTATACCTAAAGTGTTCAAGAGATACCATTTTTAATAACCTTACAATATAACCTAAGAAACATACTATTCAGCAAAAAAACTAACAGAAATGTGGCTGGTTAAGCCAGCCTGGAATATGCTTATAAATTTGTTCATGATCCAGGAAGTGATATGTTCAAGGAGTTTTTTTAGTGTTTTAAATTTATTACAAACACTGGTAGATCTCTCCGCTAAGCTGCTAAAAATTTCTAAATGATTACTGTATTTGGCCATGGTCTTGCATATGTACCAAATCAAGTGTCAAAAATACTGACATTTTCCTTGGCTTGTAGGGCTCTGGAGAGCCTGGAAAGCAATAGCTGTTTTAACCCAAATCCTACTGGTTGTAGGTCTGCATCCGGCTTGCAACACAACCAGATTTGGCCCAGAGAGCTGGGAGAGCTTGACACCCTTGTATTAAATCATTTCCAATGGATTCTTTTTTTTATTTTGTTTGAGGATTATATATTATATCATTAACCTATTGAATGAGCTTTAACCTTCCATTTAAACCAGTTTCTTAAAAACAAAATCAAATAACTGAACTAAAATAAGAGACATCATCAAAAATGTTCTTCACAAGAGGTACTCTTTCATTACACATTTTCCATACAGGAATATTCATGCTGTGTACACTCATTTCCATTTTTTTTTTCAAGTTAAACAGCTGTATTCATGGGCAACTGGTGTCGCCTTAGTCAGGGGGGCACTTGCTCCCTTGTGACCAGTCCCGCCAACCAGGAGGGAGGGTCCCCCCGTCACTGATCACTGCTTCCAGGAGTGGTTGTGGTCGCTTCTGGGAACAGCTGTAGCGATTGGCCGGCACTTGCTGGGGGGGCACTGGCGCTCCCACCTGCCCATTGCCTAAGCAGCAAGCACGACCAGTCAGGGGGTACACCGGCGCTCTCAGGGGGTGCACATGCACCCCCATGCATTACCACGGTTTGTGTTTGTTTTCCATCTTTTATTTAGTAGTAGAGTTTTTATTTTTAATCATCTGATACAACAGCTAACATATTCCTAAATAACCATTACTATTATAGACCGTGGAGGAAAAGTTATCTGGGTGTTAGGATGCACAGCCAATACAAACACTAAATACAATTAAAAAAAAATCATGTTCAATTTTAGCTTCGCACACATAAATACTAAGATTACCACCTGTTTTCAAACTCTCAAATGAAGGAAAATATGTGCTGCAATATCTAGGCATAAGAGTATATCCAAGAAGCCACATAGCAGCTCTAAGTAGGGTACATTTGCAAAGATATAAGTGGGACAATTTCTCACCAATGACAAAAACATTGTGTGTATGTGTGTGTGTGGGGGGGGGAGGATGCAGAGGAGGAGGGGGGAAGGGAAGAGGGGAGGAAGGATTTAAAATGTTAAAGAAGGATTGCACCCTATTTTTTCTTTTTTTGTTTCTCTTACCTTATGTCAGGTGATCCGGCCCTCCCATATCGTTCCTGCCATTTCCTGATGCCTGCACTGGCTTTTCTGGAGGCAGTGCTTGTCTGTGCCTGAGAAGAGGCGCTGTTTCTGGTGAGATAAATTTTCTAGGTCTTTCTTTTCTTGTGTCTCTAACTTTTTTGTTCTTTGAGCTCTGCTTGTGTTCCTCGCTCCTAAACCCTAATGACCCCACACCAATGCCATTCTCTATACTAGGCCATGTACCAGGGTTCATTTCTAGCCATGGAAAATTTCCACAGCAAGAAATGATTCCTAGAGAGGGAGCTGCACAAGAATTTACCCTGTAACCACCCAATTTCCTTGCTCCTCATGCCTTCCCAAGACTAGGGTGATCCTGGTCAGGGGAAAGTGTGGGCTACTCCAGTCCTCCCATTTCCAAGGGGATTGGAGAAGCGGGGCAAAGCCCCCTGTCCACTTTTCACTCTGAAGGTCCCCGCACATTTCCCATACCAGGGACTCCAGCATGCAAAGCAGGCAGGAGGCTTGCAGCATTGTTCCCTCCTCTTCGTGCCCAGGAGTCAAGTGGAGAGAACAGTGGGGCAAAGACTCCTGTCCACTTCTCATTCTAGGGACTCCAAAGTGAGAATCAGGCAAATGGCTGGCAGTGCCATTCCTGGTACCTTCAAACTGAATGGATGGCAAGGCAAACACCCCTACCCATCTCTCATACTGGGGGACTCTGATGGGCAAAGAGCTACAGGGGAGCAGCTCATAAACTGCTCCTCCCCTCCCCTCCCCTCTTGGTTTATGGAAGGAGTGGGAGCAGCTTCCCCTGAGCAGAGCCTTTCCCTATGGCTCCACTACTCCCAGTCCTGTGGGAAAGCATATTAACATTTATTCTCCCCAGAGAAACCCTCCTGGAAGCAACTTCTAATTGCCTAGAGTAAGTTTATTTCTCTCCCTGAATAGCCATTTTTGCTCTGGGAGAAAAAGCTGGAACATCTGTACACTCATGGTTTCTATCGGGACAGTGACAGTTTTTCTAGCGGGAACAGAACATCTGCACATCCCAATCTCATATTCCTCACCTCTCCTTTGTACAGCAGTTAGTGTTAAGAGCTAGCAAGAGTTCTACTGCAATGAAAGTATTGTTGGTAGCAAATTTATAATGATTAGAAAAATTACAGCTGCTAGTGCCTTGTGCTTTAAGAGATTTTTTTAAGTGACAAACAGGGATTGTACCTGCAAGCTTACCACCTTAAATGACCCACAGCTAGCTAAAATTCTTATTGTATAGCATTAGAACATTTAATACTTTTTTTATTAAAATACTAACTTGCTGTCAAAAAAGTAGAGTAGTACTTTCATAACATATCAATGGTTGGCAAAGAAGGTGGTAGCACAATGATCATTATATAACTGCTACTATATTCTAAAAACAGAGCTTAATCAAAGAAGTAAGCACTGAAAGTGATCCAACCATAATTTACTGTGCACATCTCTGCCAGTCATTGAAAGAAATATATTTATGAATTACTAAGTTTCATCTGAGCATTTTTAGAAACAACATTTTTCTAGCACAGAAATTGCTTTTAACCAACAGTGCCCAAAATAATGGACATCAATTATTGAAAGGAGTGACTTTGCCATTTAAAGGCATGCAGTTACAATGATTTAACTAAGGGCTTTGTCACAGGTTACCTTAAAACAGGCATAAAGGCACTTAAAATGAGAGCAGACATATTAGTTAAAAGGTATTAAACTGTGATAAGTATTTTCTAAATGTTTTAAAGTTAGCCATTCCAACTGAGGTTTATCCTTGATCACTTCTGCCCAAGACAACTCTCAGGAGATAAAACAATCAATCTGTAGTCCTCCACAATCCCAGAAAGCATATGGCCCAGCCACTCTAGCCATCTACATCCTCTAAACCTCTAGTGGTCTCCCCTCTCCACCCACCCCTTCATGCTTAGTGCAACCAGGCTGCTCTGGCTTAACTGCTGTGGGAAAGCATGCTTTCCCTGGCTCCAGGGTTTTGGCACCTTGAGGCTCCACACTCATTGTAGACCTATTGGCTTAACTACAGCAAGAACCAGAAGCCGAGGAAAGCATGTTTTCCCCAGCTCCGGAGTCTCCCTGCCTGGCAGTTCCGCACTCAGCTGCAGTGAGACCCAGGAGCCACAGAAAACATGCTTCCCTAGGCCCAAGGGTCTGGCCTTGTGCTACCACTCAGCCTTGCTCTCAGTGAGGAGTGGCTGCAGCTCAGCCAGACCAGAGCGCTCTGGGGAAGCAGCTTCCCTCCTGGGTAACAAGCCTCCCTCCCGGTTACCTTCTCCATGCCCCTACTCATTAGGCCCTCCAGGGGCAAATCAGTCCTGCAGGTCTGAAACAACTTGAAGCCTTCACCTGCGCCTGCCCTGAAATTGCCTTAAATTTATGACATCACAACATTGCACAGGTTTCTGACATAATACAAGTAACCTGTGTCAAAGCCCTCAGGTTTATACAGAATAGACAAACACATCACAAACCCCTGTTCCAAATAGGTACTGAATGGGATGGAATAGACAAAAGATATGAATGGCTATGAATATAAATGTACTCTGCCAGTATGTAAGACAACCATGTACGATTCCCAACAGCATTCCCCTAAAGCAGTGTTTGGGAACCTATGACCCAAGGGCCAGATTGGCCCACGGAATTATTTAATCCAGGCTGCAGAGTGGGGGTTTTGGTGGCAGGGAGTTTTGCCAACACCGCATCATACCACCCCATGGCTAGGCACTTTTGCCCATGTTACACCACTGTTAGGCAGCAGAATGAAGTGGCAGCAGGGAGAAGCAATGGTGACTGGGTCCTAGTGCCAACTGGCCTTTGACCCAAGCTGGGTTATTCCAGCCCACCATCAGAAAATGTTGCTGACCCCATCCTAAAGAAAACAAGCATTAGGAAACCTCAGTTTCTTGAGGGAGGGAATAAGTCTCAAAGGCTAGGGACAGACATTCAAAAAGCCTGAGCCTGAACTGATTCAATCTTTGCAGGTTAGTCTACCCTGGCTAGGCTGAACTGGCTTGTAACTGGACAGACATTCTCTCTGGACTAAGGAAATTCAGGCACGTGTGCAGTGGCTCATGCTAGAAGCTGGGGGGTGCTACAACAGCCCTCCCTTCCCTTGCACTGTACTGAGCCAAGGGGGGGCATGGCCAGGCCCCAGCAGGACCTCTGATTAGGGAGGTCTGCCTGTACCATCTCAGGCTTTTCCCCACTGGCTGCTCAGGGGGCAGGAGGGTTGCCAGGCCCCAGCTAGCACTCTGAGGCAAAGCGGGGGTGTGCAGTGCACGCATCTGTTGATGATATGGAGCTTTTCAATCTCCCTCCCTGCTTCTTTATACTATCTGCAGCAAACTGACAAGCAAGCAAGGGGCTGATAACAGTGATTATCAGCTTAATCAGCAAAACAATAGCCTCTCTCCATTAGTTCAAACTCTTCTTAAACAGCTTACCAGCTGACCTGCTGATTAGCTCCAAAAATGCCTTAAGTGGTCACTGTTCTGTCTGCCTATCCCAGTGAAACTGGAGACACACAGACACCTGTCAGCATTAGCTAGTATACCACATGCCTAGGGTCCATGGGACTGGGGTCTGTGCTGTGGGAGATGGGAGGGAGGCATTCCTGCTTAAGCAGTAAGCAGCAAGGTGGGGCAGGGGGAAGCCAGACAAATGCTGCTGTGCCTGCAGTCTTTGTAGGAGCTCCAGCCAGGGAGCAGAGCGAAGGGGCCAGCTCTGCTGTGGAGCAGAGAGCATGCCAGGATGCTGGGGGAGTCTAATTTATCTTAAACCAGCAAGGGGTCTCGGACAGACATTGCATAAACTGGTTTGAGCCAAATCAGTTAAGTCCGATACTATATTTATAGATTTTAGGGTCAGAAGGGACCTATTAGATAGTTGAGTCTGACCCCCTGCCCTGGGCACCCCAGCCAGGTGTTTATTCAATCTCCTTTTAAATAGCTCCAAGGAAGGGGACAGCACCATCTCCCTTGGAAGCACGTTCCATATTTTGGCAACTCTCACTATAAACAATTTTTTCCTGATGTCCAATTTAAACTTACTTTCCTTCAGTTTGTGGCCACTGCTTCTAGTTACCTCAATGGGCACCCTGGTAAACATCATATCCCCTGTTTCCTGCTGTCCCCCCGCCCCGATGAGCTTGTAGACAGCAACAAGATCACCTCTCAGCCTTCTCTTACGGAGGCTGAAGAGATTCAGGTCCTTCAAATCGGTCCTCCTAGGGTTTTTCTTGTAGTCCTTTAATGAGATAGGTGGCCCTCCTCTGAATGCTTTCCAGGTTATCTAAAACCCCAAACTGCGGCCCAACCAATGCCACAGAGGGGGAAGTATCATCTCCTTAGACCTATTTGTAATGCACCGACTTATGAAAGAAAGAATGGGGTTAGCTTTACTTATTGCTTTATCACATTGGTGACTCACGTTCATTTTGGAGTCAACTATGACTCCGAGATCCCTCTCTGCTGTTGTGCTACTCAGTATGGTATCTTCCAGGCTACATGTGCATTGATGCTTCTTCCTCCCTAGATGCAACACATGGCACTTATCTTTGTTATACTGCATCCTATTCTTTCTGCCCACTTACACAGCCTATCCAAATCCATCTGGATTCGCTTCCTGCCCTCTAGTTTGTTTACCTCACCCCATAGTTTGGTGTCTTTCATTCAACCAGGTTTATCTCAAACCAATTTCAGCCATTCTCAGACTGGTTTATGTGCACTGAACATCTGTTCTGTTACAGGTTTAAACCAGTTTCTGATCACTTAAACCAGTTTAATGTGTAATGTCTGTCCATAGCTCTCCAAAAAATCTCTGATTAACAAACAATGGACTGACTTTACTACCCCTAAAAACTCAGAAGAAATGGAGCTTCAATTTCAGGTAAGTGGCTTGATGGACAATGAAGTAGGCAGGTAAAACTAGAAAAAAGGAAGAGGCCTAGCATGAGATATTTACCCTAGCTAAAGTGTACCTCAAAGCTTTCTAATAAAAGGAAAAAACAGCAATGCACACACACATTCACACAATGGGTCCAATAAACTAACATGGCACTATCACATAAGCCCATACAATATGCCATCTCCATCTGCCACTATAAATACTTTCTACAAATTTTAGCCTGAATGGATATTTAATTAAAAGCCTAGTATCATAACAGTATACTAAAGCGATCTAAACTATTTCAAAACACCAATACAATAATGAGCTGTATACACAAGGAATCGTATCTTGTTGCAACAGCAGAACTGCATACAGTTCTGGAGGGATCGTCCTAGGATACTGTGTTCTCTCTGGGGAATTTTATTATCAGAAGCAGACCAAATATATAGTTCAGAGAAGAAAGATAAGCATTATTAAAGGCTTGAAAGATGTGTTACTGAAGACAATTTCTAGAATAGATGCTGGAAGAGAAATTACCTAGGCTGTACAAGGAGTACTAGAACAAAAAACAAGAGAGAGGAAAAATTTAGGTTGAATATCAAGCAATTATTTCTCTCTGAGATACAGATACCTCCTAAATAGCCTCTTAAAGAATGCTTCCTGGCTTGAATATTTAAAATTAATATGGACAAATTATTGAAAACTAACAACAGAGAATAACCTTGAAGTGATAAGGAGTAGAATTGCATATTCCAATACATTACTCCTCCAATTACCTACAGTTCTATGCTAAAATACTGTCAGGTTTGTTGAGTGGGCAATAGAATGCTTTCCAGGACCATTTTGGTTACCAGTACAAAATAGAAGCACCATGAACTTTGTTATGTTTGGATTGAGTCAATTACAAAACATGACTACTTAAAATTGAAGGGGGAGGAACAACAAAACATAAAAAATAAAAATTCAGTAACAAAGTTATTCCCTTGTATTTGTAGAAAAGAATGCAATAAAATGCATGAAAACAAAAGCTACCTAGCACGGAAGGGAATGTGTACTAGGAGCCCCCTTTGAGCTTCTTTAAGTTGTAGCATCACTAACCTTAATTTTGTTTATTTAGAGAAAAAAATAGGTGGTAGAAGGTACAAAATGACATTTTTCTGCTTCACACCTACTTTTTAAATGGCCAGTCTAATTGTACATAAACAGTACTGCATATTCAATATTACGACTTTCATTGTTTTGTTATTTTTTCTGTGTGCTCAAATCTCCACTTTTTTTTTTTTTTAAAGTAGCACAGGAATAGAACTATACAAACCAAAAAGCTTCCCCTGCAGAGCTGGTTGTAGACTGAAAATGAGTAGGATCACACTTTCTTTTATTTTTTGATTATTAAGAAATGTTTTGTATTCTTCCCCCCCCCGCAACAGGTCAATCTTTAAGCATACATAGGTAACAAGAAAAGATTAAAAAAAACACCCAACATTTTACCTGAAGTTATAAAATCATGACTTTCCAACTGACCTGTTTGGAATTCCTGATTTGAAAAGGGGTGGAGGAGATGTGAAATCAGCTTTGATTGGCTGCAGTATCACTTCCTTTTCCATGTTTCCAGTTCTGCCCTGCTGGACCTTTAAATAAATGTTTCAACATTAGCTTGACATGAGCAGCTGAACAGTGCCATTTCTCATCATAGCAACATATATTGAAAGAAAACAGATCACATGAGCACAATTTCAACAAAATTAAAACTAGCACTCCTGCAAGCAGTTAAACCCCATGTTATAAGAATGTGTTATTTGCTGGGAATTACTTGTGACAAATGTAGGATAACAAAACAGCAAATCTTTTGCGAAGAAATTCTTCATCAGGTGAACCAAGTAAGTGTCTATGAAGTTTATAGATAAAAAAACTAAGCAAAAAGGTGAGCTCATAATCTATTTACCCATTTTAATGAAAGCCATTAAAATCTAACTAACCACTTCACTTCAGAGTCACACCAAGAGTATTGTATTTATTCACATACCACGTATACCTTCCCCCGAAAACAAGCCATCCATAATTATGATGCAAGTTCTAAACAAAAGAACCTGAGTTCCAAGCCAGAATGGAGGCTATGACTGTGCTCAGCACCTGCTCACCCTGAGCTCAGTTCTTCTGCTGCACAGAAGTGAGGTATACTCCTGGTCTTCAGCACCATTCTCCCTCCCCCTCTACTGAAGGGCCAAAAGAGGACTCAACCGTCTCAAAAACCACCCCACACCTGCTCTCGTAGCCCCAGTGTCCCAGCTCTTTAAAAAAAAAAAAAAGCCCTCACTCACCAGCTGCTGCCAGGCAGGCGATCCCCACTGCCCCCTGCTGCCTGGGCGGCTCTGCCACGAGCCTCCATCCCCTGCCTGCTCTCCCAGCCCCACCATCAGCTCTTAAAAAAAAAAAAAAAAAAAAAAAAATGGTCCGCACTTACCGGCTGCGGCCAGATGCTGCGTGGGGGATGAGGGGGCTCTGCCATGAGCCTCCAGAAGCCCTGATGGCTGGTGCAGCAGCTGGTGAATATGGGTTTTTTTGGGTTTTTTTTGAAGAACCGGGAGCTGGGGCCAGGTGGGGCAGCCATGGAGGGGGCTGGGAGAGCAGGCAGAGGATGGGGGCTAGTGGCAGAGCCCCCCACACAGCATGGGGCAGTGGGGATCGCCCCCTCCACCAGGCAGCAGCTGGTGAATAGGGGCTTTTATTTTTTATTTTTTTAAAGAACCAGGAGCTGGGGCTGGGCAGGGCAGCCTTGAGGCGGAGCTAGAGGAGCAGGCAGGGGATGGGGCCTGGCGGGGGTTCCCCCATGGTCCCCTCTCCCCTCCTCCAGCCCCCACCCCTTACTTACTGGCATGGAGTTTGGGTCCAAGTCCCTGCGGCAGCGAACGGGGACTGCTCCAATCTCCTAAGCTCTCCAAATAAATTCAAAAAAGATTCGGAGAGCTCCAAATCAATTCAGAACTTTTTAATGGTCTCCCGATTTGATTCGGATTCAGAGATTCAGCCACCAAATGGGGCAGAATTTCCTCTGAATCGAATCAACACCTGAAGCTTCGCGCAGCCCTAATGTTTAGCTTCCATCTGGTAATGATAGTAAGGGGTGACATGGTAGCAGTTTTCAAACATTTGTCATAAAGATGGAGAAACATTGTTTTCCCTTGCCATGGAAGGCAAGACAAAGGGAAAGGGACTTCAGCTTCAGCAAAGATTTAAATGAAATTTCAGGAAAGACTTCCTAACTGTAAGAATAATAGAAAAATGGATAAAACAATCTCCAGACATTGTGGAACCTCCCTCTTTGAAGGTTTTTAAGAAGAGGATAAATAAGCATCAGTCTGGTTCAGGAACAGCAAATCCAGTATTTGTGAAGGCGCTGTATTAGCTGACTCTCAAGGCCATCCACCAAGCCTGTGATTTTGCAATTCTGTGTTTTGTTACACAATACAGCTTCCACTCTCTAGTTTTCAATATTCATAAAAAAAAAAAAAAGTGTTCGACTTATGAATAAAAGTTACTGAATAGCTGCTTAGACACATATTTACAAATCTGGATTTTAGCTGAACTGTGGTACACTTTTTCATATGCTCTGATATTTCAGCTTTTCATTGGCAAAGTTACACGCTAATTTCACATAGGCCCAGCAGTCCATCTGTGTACAAAGAGGTAAACAAGGCCCTTCGACTGCAAGCTGTTCAAGGTATGGACTGTATCTTCATTTACCTTGTTATATAGAACAGTTTTAGTGCTTTAGTAAATAGTAATAAAAAAGAACAGTCTAGGATTCTTAAAACTAATTGGTATGTCCCAGTTTAAGCAGAAATCACGGTAGAGATATTTCCAAGTAATTAGTAGTACATTTAGCTTTTTTGCACTACTAATTACTTGGAAATATCTCTACAGCGAGGTCATCTTGGCTTTTAAACCAAAACTTTGATTATAAATTTTCTGGCATTAATCCAACATCAAAACACTGACATAACCACTTCCACCTACCACCATGAAATGCATATATAGTAGCTCACATTAAAAAAGTTTAAATATTAATGAATTACCTTCCCAGACCATGAACATACATTAAAACCTGCAGCAAAAGAATTATACGTACCCCAAAGACTGACACATCACTAGATTTCTTCCTCTGGGATGAGCTTCAAACTTCAAGCCCCCAATTCAGTTGAGGCAGTTTTTAAGTTGGAAAACTTAACTATCCCCCAAAAAAGACTAGGAGTGCCAGAAGATTTTGCTCTTTTAACAGTCAGCTGCAATGGGAGACCACATCCTTCTACTGCCTTATCCCTTCCTGAACTCTAGCATAAGCAAGGAGAATGGAAAAGCTACAGAAGCTTATATCCTCCCTGAGGCAGAAAAATAAAGACACTGTAGTGCAGTGGTTCTTAATGTTTTTAGGCCCAAGGCACCCCTCAGAAAATGTCAGCACTTAGATTTCACTTATTTGGGGGTTTTTTACTACAAAAAAATTAATACTGCAATTCTTCTGTTACAAAGAACTCAGAAAGGCTTCAACAGGTCAAAATATTTTTAACGCTACGAATTCCTATTTGTAATCTCTGGGTTATCTTGTGAATCATGTTTGGACACCTGACAATGCTAACACAGCATGACACCCTTGAAAGAAGCTCAAGTCACACCAGGGTGCCACGGCATCCTGTCTGAGGATCACTACCTTAATGCATGGGTGTCAAAGACATGGCCCACAGGCTATAGAGGGTCTTGGCCTGACCCCACACACTGCATATGGCACATGCTGGCCTGGGCCCTGCACATTGCATGTGGAGCTTGGCTTGCTGGGGCCAGATCACACCCACAGACTGTCACTGCATGCTGGAGCCAGCATGCTGGTTTGGCGCAGATGTGTCAAAGTGTGCGCTCCAAGCGCACCACGTGCAGCATGAGCATGGGTCTGATCTAGCCCACAGACTGGTCCCGTGTAACTCACCTACCCCAGAGGACCAGATGAATTTGACACCCCTACCCTCAAGGATACTGAAGCAATAGAAGAGAGAAAAAACAGAACCAAAAATGCCTGGCTACAAATTGGAGTCTCTCCTGCAGTAATTTGCCGCAGAGGGATAGCAATTGACAATTCTGAACCAATTTAACAAGGGCTCAATGAGATTTACCCTGGATATTAAATAAGAAATTATAAAAAATAAAATAAAATAACTGGTACTATAGTTCAGTGTAGAGACTTATACTATGAGAAGGTTGAATATGAAAGAAAGAGCCGTTTTAAAAATGGAAAGCTAAAGCTTCACTCTAATATGCTAAACACAAATATAGATAGCTAGACTTGTTTTGTTTCTAATACAGTGTAATTCTCTTGCAGATGAAAATCAGATGGACAGAAAGTACAGTACAGCCAATTAAAATTAGACAATTGAAAAAATTAAGAGACTCATTGTCATACTCACCAAGAAAGAAAATTACAAACCAAAGTAAAAGCTACAAGGCTGCAGAAACAAAAATCATGCCATACTTTATAAAGCTTCCCAAGCACATTTGCATGAATTTAATCTGCATGAACAAACAATCTATAACTAAAAAGAAAACCATGACATAAAAGCAAGAAGTTTCATCTGCCATTTGTTAGTGCAGCAGTGATGACAAAACAAGAACAATATTTTTAATCAACAAATTTGTCAAATTAATTGAGTCACCAACGTAAAATGAGAGCTTAGAAAAATAGCTATGTCCACTTCAATCTCATCTCTGTCACTTGGTAGTGGTATGGGTAGCAATACTCCACAAAAATGAGAGCAACCAACAAAAGCTTACTAAAATTCACCTTAAAAAGATTGTATCTGCCATCTTGAATCTCTGCACCTGGTGTTACTTCCATAGTATTGTCTTCGGCCTAAGTTAAATAACATATTGCCCATTAAAATACCAGACTAACACATGGTTACAAGCCCGACTGTAACTAGCTTGTGCCATTAACCACACAAATAGTCAATGAAGTGATGGAGAAAGACTCTGGATTTCAAAAGAGAAAGGTGACTGAACTCCTTAACAAAGATACCATACCAGACAGAAAAGCAAAAACCATGTAACATTATATCAGCTTTACACAGGGAAAAGTATTTACTTATTACTGAATTCCACAAATGTTATTAATTACCATGATTTTATTTGAAGCTGAGGTAAGTGGTAAAATTTCAAGACCCATTCGTATCCTCTTTTGTTTTTCACAGTAAGCTTTCCAGGTATCTTCATTAAACCCATAGTTGAAATAATCAGAGAGATCAGCACCTTCAAACCAAAGAGTTCAAAATTTAAGAATTAAGCACACATCGCTGTTTTTTAATTTTTATTTTTGCTTTTGTTTATAGAACAATAAAATCAGAAATCACAGCAAAGGTGTACTGTTAAGAAATACAACTTCCTTAATACTAAAATATCTGCAAGATCCTACTGCTCCACATACTTGAAGTGTATTGAAGTTGCACACTATGTTTCAAAATGTGCAGAGTTCAGTCTCCTAAGCATTATCAAAAGAAACGTGTGCCTTGTACTTCGTGGACAATTTTCATTTTCAAAGCAATGCATTAAAAAAGGAGGAAAAAAAGCTAAAATTATGGCTGGAACACAACAGGCACATGCAGTCATTTTGAGAGTTACCCATCTCATTCCTCTACACGGCCTGTAGGCCAGATTCAATCCGCAGAGCTGGGGGGCACAGTCTGCCACAGGATTCAGGGTTTCTCGACTCTGGTGGACAGGGTCATCAGCAGCAGCCTCCTGGACCTGCACTGCTGCATTCCTCCAGATGTGCGCTGCTGCCCGAATGCAGCCCCTGGCTGCCATGCAGCCCTGAATCCTGCACTTTTTTCCTTTATTGTTTCTTGAACATGCAGACATGAAGTCTTTGGCAACCAACCTGAGACAATTAGGTATTTTCCAAGATCACTCAGAATAGCAATTTATTAATTATCCATTAATTTAGTTATACATTTGGAGGGCATTTTACCAGTATCCTGAATGATTAGTAAGCTATTCAAAGTATCTATTAAATAATATTTCATTTGACTTGCACAGTATTATGTGGTTAGACTGATATTTTTATATAATTGTGAGTTATCCATCAGAAATATTACCTGGCTTTCTCCACGGTTTATCTTCAAAAGAATCTAAATCTACTTCCAGAAGTGGAACCCCATTAATGCTTCCTGGTGCATCAAGATCTACCCCTTTAACTTTTCCACCTAAAAAGAAAAGTTGTAAAAAATATAGTTTAAGTCTTTAAAACCGAATTTTAATTAATCCAACATAATGAGTTTAAGTTTTCAATTTGAATAAAGACATACTACAATTTTAGTATTATCAACAGTTTATATAACATGTTAGTTAGATAACAACACATTGGTGTGCTAAGTGTTTTAGAGACAACTACAAAGAACAGAGTACTCTTTCAAAGGCCTTATAATCTAAATAAAATACATTCGTTTTCTACTTTAAAAACTTTTTATATTTTAAATGCATCTATGCCAAAGTACACGTAATTTTAAGCGGCTTTTCACCAAATTCATGCGTGTAATAGTTGTGCTTTTCCCACTAAATGTTGTGTTCATTATCCACATCCTAAAGCAGGATAATGGACTGTCTAACTATCAACCTGTGGGCTGCATGAGGCTCACAAGGGGTTAATGTGCAGCCCCAGGGCTCCCACCCAGCTGTCATTCCTCCATACTCCCCTTTCTCATTCTAGCTTCAACTTCCTGCCCCTATTTCAAGGCATAGCATACCCCACAGGGTCAGGGGAGCCTGTAACCCAGGTACTGGAGACAGCAACTAGAGTGCTGCAGCTGGAAAGGTCATCCACATAGTACAGTGCAGTAGGGAGGGTAGGGGGTGCACCCATGCCCTGTGCTGGTGTGGCCCCTGGCTGCTTAAAGTTGGACAGCCCTATGCTAGAAAGTCACAGTAGTAAATGAAAGTTGTAATACTGTGGTTGAACATCCATCTGCACTGCCTTCATTCTACAGTTTTGGAGATGAGAGAATACAGAATGGATGGTACGTACCACGCACTATAGGTTTCCCCTGTGAATGCATTTCATTTTTCAACAAATAATGTCTTTTAAGAATAATATCTTTTAAATCTGTTTCTTCAGAAAACTGCTTCAATCATTACAGGAGTGTAGCATGGTGCAGGCCTCAGGGGCTGCAGCCCAGCTGGAAGCAGGCCGAGAATAGATTTCATAGACGTTAGGGCTGGAAGGGACCTTGAAGATCATTAGGTCCAGCCCCCGAATAATTATAAGTCTGCCTTGACCGACTGGGCCAGGTGATGATGATAACTGGCTGGCACCATGGGACTTAAAGGGCTCCTAGGAAAGGGAGGTAGAGGGAGAGGAGGGGAGTAGCTGCAACACCAAGCCAGGGACTTTTCCAGGGTCTGGAAAAAGATGAGAAGGTTTGAGGGTTATAAGAAGGGCTGCGAAGATAAAGGTTGCTGCAGTGAGCCAGGGAACTCCCTCTCCAGAAGGAGAGATGGGCCATTGGGGTGGTGAGGAAACAGGACAGAGCTGCAATCATCCTCTAAGGGTCTGGGAAAAGACCCTAAGTTGAAAGTTACCCCTTCGTTTGACTATGTCTTTGCTTGATGCCAGATTGCTGGTTTATGCACATGGTGTTTCCTCTGAGGCAAAGGTACACAGGAAAATTTAGACCTTGCAAGTAAACAGATATTCCACTACGTGTGGTAGAGAAGGTAGACTTTAAAGTGAACTCCAGCATGAAGATGCCAGAGGGAAAGCAGAGTAGAGGTACCTGTTTACTGGAGTGTCTTGACCTCACATTGGGGGAAATAGAGGCTAAGCACAAACAGGAGCTTGAAAACTGAGAAAGGGGTTGGCCAGACTTGCTGCCCAGTGTGAGATTTCTCAAGAGGAGACACAGAAACTAGCAAAGCAGGTGGAGACTGAGTGCCATGTCTGCAAGAGGAGAGACAGAGGTGGCAACCTTAAAAAGCCAAGCCCTGCACTTAGAAGCAGTTGGAAAGGGCTAAAGTGAGGTCATCCAGTTCCACAACAATGAGCAGAGAACCCAAGTCCTTTTAAGCGAGATAGGGAAGCAGCCAATCTGGTGGAGGACCAAGACCTGAGAGAAGATCCTCAACAAGACCACATCCATAGGAAAGGGTCACAGAAACCCCAAGCAATTTAGGTAGTACTACTGGAGGTGAGCGAGAGAGGGATGAATGGCAGAGAATTCTTTTTTCAGGGACAGCCTCCATAGGAGAGACACCCTGGAGAAAAGAGGGCAGTAGTAGAGTCCACTGAAGCCAAACATGAGGGAGATGAAAAAATACCCTGAGGGGGTATTGTGGGGTTGAGAGACAGGGAAAAGACCACAGAGGAAACAACAAATGGGCCAGGTCCATCCAACTGAGTACCAAGAGTCCAAGCCTGCATCCAACAGGGTGGACTCAGGGCAAGAGAAAAGCAGGGCCTACCAGAAAGCAGACAGCCCAACTCCAGAGACCCGAGTCCAGGCCTGGGCTCAGGCCAGGAGAAAATAAATAATTGAACCCCAAGGCCAAAAGGTAGGCTGCCCAAAGGGATTAGGGGTGGTTTCAAGTGTGGGTGTTGTGGACATAAGACAAGGCCATGCCCCTGGACTGAATTCTGGAATTCTCACATTCAGAGTGGACCCCCTTGTAAAATAAAAAGAGCTGTGGGACTTCTGGAGGGAAAAAATGAGAGATTGTTTGGGGGGAAAACATCCACAGGAACTGAAGCCAGATGACATGAGGACTGACAGCCTCAGGTCCAGCATGTTTGCGAGTAATCTGTGCTTCCAGGTCAGCTGGAAGAGACTGAAACAGCTGTTCCAGTTGGCAGAAACTGCAAAAATGCTGATATATGGAAGAATATGAAGGGGAAAAGCCGAGATATAGGAAAAGTTAACTCCAAACATCCCATGGGAGCCTATCAAGCAATCACCATATTTAATGGACAACTATTGTGGGGCAGACCCATGAGGATAGAGAGACTGCCAACCAAAGGTCTGGGCAGGGTTACTACCACCTTGGAACCTAAGGAACTTTGGGGTAAGGACTTGGGCTTGGAAGGAAGCCCTGAGGGTGGCTGGGGAGTCACCTGACTGGAAGGGGCAGGGCAGTCAGTCTGACCATGCAGGCATCAGGGAGAGGAGCTCCTGAGCAAGATGGCTGCAGAAGCGCAACTGACTGATACCTGACCTGCCCTGAGAACTGTGGGTAAGAGGCAGATAAGACCAGGGTCATGGAGCAGGGAGAACTAAAAGGAATGATGGTCTGAGTGAGGCCCCAACCTGGGCTGGGTTGGGCTTTAGTCCAAAAACAGTGTTTCACTTAGTTGTAACAACCAGCGGGCTTAAGTTTTGTTTATATTCTAACATGAACTTCAACACTGGAGGAATGACCATGACTAATAGGGGAGGAGGAAGTCACAGGGTGCCAGAGGGGCACATTAGAAAGCCTTGCCAAGGGCAAGGCCTAAGCCACAGTGGTACCAAAGTGGGGGGAACAGGTGGGCATCTGAGCTGCCGCCAAGGACAGCAGCCAAGAGGGCCAAAGCCTGCATGAGAAAGGCAACAGAGGTGGTCTGAAGTTCGTCCCTGAGCTAGGGACACCAGGAGCTGGGGGAACTCAACAGAGCTGAAAGCAGCCTCAACCTGGGCAAAAGACGCTGTGGGGGGCTGGGACTGAAACAAGAACAGCTAAGGCCCGAGGAAGGTGACAACTGTGGCCTGGCCAGTGCCCAAGAACAGCTTCGCCCTAAGCAAAGAACGCCAGCGGGGCTGAACAGAGATGAGAGCAGCTTCAGCCTGGCAAGGGATGCCAAGGGGGCTGGGATTGAAACAAGAGCATCTAATGCACAAGGTAGGCAATGGCTATGGTCTAAAGCCAAAAAAGCTGAGGCCAGAGCCTGAGACAGGCAGAATCTCCAACCTGTCGCAGGCCCATAACCTGGGGAGAGGCAGGGAGGATATGTAGCAGGCTGCATGCCTCGGGGGCTGCAGCCCAGCTGGAAGCAGACAGAAAATAATTACAAGCCTGGGAAGCATAGAAAGGGAGAGGGCTGAGAGAGAACAACTGCAGTGCTGTGGACACAGCACAGAACTATGCAAGTAAACAGATATCCTGCTACAGGTAAGTTCTTTTTCAAATTGTTGAGGCAATAGTCAGCAATGAAGCCATACACAACCTCAGACACTACATGAGTAAACCATTTAATTAGCGTTCAGCAAATACACACAAGTGTAGTTTTATACATCTGAGTTTATTTGAACAGTAGTTCAAATTTAGGGTGGGTTTTCAATGGGTAACAAAGTCCCCCGTCTCCCTTTGCATAGATTTATCCAGCTAGTCCACAAAGTTGTTTACCCTCTAAAACATTAAAATCTGTCTACTTGTAGACTTTAAGGGTGCACCAATAGAGATTTTTGGAGCCTGTGCAAATAGCTGATAAATTTTAAGGAGACATATTGGCCAATACTGATCCAATTTCCGATATGCCGCTCTTTAGCTTGGTAAGCTGGTACATCTGGTGTGGTGGAAGGAGAGGGAAGGAGGGAGGGTGGCAGATCAAGACCCTTGCGGTGACAGAGTGAATGGGGCTGGGGCTGGGGCAGGCGGGGCATGGGACAGAGCTGCAAGCAGCTCGTCTGGGGGGGCCTGTGCCCCCCAGATCCATGCAGAATGGGGTGGGATGCAGCTGTGGGCTGGGGTGGGATGGAAGCGTGGCTTTGTCAAGGGGAGGCAGCTCCCGCTGCTGCACATGGCTCTTCTAGTGCTCATCTGGTGGCTCCCACTGTTCCTCCAGGACATGGGGGGAGGCAGCAGCCCCCCCCCATGCCCTCCTGGATGACTAGTGGGAGCAGTGGCGGGAGCTGCCAGATGAGAGATGGATGAGCTGTGCACAGCGGTGGGAACTGCGCCCCACCCCCCTATGAGCCACACCTCCATCCTGCATCTGCCCCAGCCTTGGTTGGGCAGCCCCTGCCCCAGCCCCAACCCCACACCATCCCTTGATGGTGGGGGCCTTGATCTGCTCTCCCATGCCCCTTCCTCCTCCACCACACCAGACTTACAAGCTGCACGCAGGTCTCCACACTGCTGGCTGTGCTCCTCCCTGCCTACGTGCTGCGCTGTAGCTGCATCCACACACGGGCATTTATCGGAAAAATTACTCGCCACATCAGGTCGATTTCCAATACAGAAATTTTCTTTATATCAATGCCAATCCACTATCGGACCAATGTATCGATACACCTTTAGCAGACTTGTAACTGAGTCATATATTTCCTACATGTGGCCAATATGGCTTCCACATATGTCCATCTTGTGCCCTGCCGCCTCCCTAAAATGACAGCAAACCTTTACACTACACTTGAACCTCCCATAGTCCTTTTAAAACTTGACCCAAAGCTCAGATATAAATAGTATTTTTGATTATGAAATGGAATAACTTTATGCAAATGCACCAACAATTCATTTCTTAGAATCAATAATTCAAAGTTGCTATTGTTAAAACGAAGATCCGTCTTGGCCTGTTTCTCTGCCCCCAGAGCTGAGTGACCCAGCACTCTGAACCTCAGGCTCTAATAGACTTATTTCTGCCATGGAACTAACTTTTTCATGATTAAGACCAGATATACAATTACTTTATAGGCATGCATGAGGCAGGTCTCTTCTCCCAAGTTTTCTGCCATTTGGCAAAAGAGGACAACAGTAAAACATCATAAGACCCTTGTTATGTATGAATCTTGTTAATTTATACTATGTTAGGTAATTATACCTCACTTACTGCTGATGGAAAAAGTTTTTTGGAGGGCTGAGAAAGAATCATTAACACAAAGTTACCCAAAATAGTACGACTTATTCCTTTGGGTACCTATATAGTAGTACAAACCAACTTATTTTACAGTAGAACGTCAGCGTAAAAACTATATTTACCTTAAATTCTACTAATAAATAATACATAATACGACTAGAGATTATAATCCAAATCACCCTAATTCTGAACCTAAGATGGAATTAATAAAACAGACAGACAGGCTTAAGAGTCCTAAATATCTTATATTTTTCTAATTCACTAACATGTCTTAATTCCATTAAACTTAATACAAGAAATCTGTAACTAAAAGCACAGAACACATGCCACTAAAAGAGATTACTGCATTTGTTACAGTTTCCATTAACATAACGCATTAATTTTCTTACCAGAAGATCCATAAACTCGCCCTCCTGTCTTAATGTTGAGATTCACAGGTGCTGTTCCATAGCTTTAAGAAATTAGCAAAACTTAGTTAGATAGAGAAAATTCTTAAAAATGAGAGTTCCCTATAGCCAGAAGCAAGAAATAGACCCAAGCCTGACTGCCATTGCAAAACTCTAACTCTCCAAATGGGTGACACTGTACAAATAAACAGCTCATTCTGGGAATAAGAAGGTATACCTCTCCATGCTCAGTAACTCTTCCAACTAATGACTAGTTGTGATGTGCATCTCAGTCGCTCTTCCCGAGTCAAAAAGTAATGGCCGTGAGAGTCCAAAGAATGGATTAGACCAAAAGAATAATTAAAAATTAAATGTCTTATTTAGACATACAAAGGATCTCCTGGGATTAGGGTAGGAGAACGCTTTACATTGGGGGGTGCCAGAGATAAGGCCTGTAGGCCAGATTTGACCTACAGAACCCTCTTATCTGATCCCTGGTGCTGCCCCCGAGTCTTATACTTGGCCCACATGGTGTGTGCAGAAAGCCATCACTTGAAAATGTCCAGAATTAGAGCCATCATTTAGAACAAAGTTCCATATGAATGTGTGCAAAATATGTCTTGCCTGTACAGGTATAGCATTTGACCATACACATGATGGAGGTAACTAACCGTCATGCTAAGTGACAGGACGGGTACAATTCACCTTAAAACTTCCTTGCAATTCTAGTTCTGTCTCTAAATAAAACTAATTTGCACAACAATAATACAAAACTAAAATGGTAGTATTTTTCTTCTGACTCCCCATGCTACATATACGCCCAAGACAGCAACACTTTGAGCTGAGGCAGAGCAGCCCCAGGCTGGCAGCAGGTTCAGGGAGTCAGCCTCAAGCTTCGGGCAGTGGCAGAGGGTGGTAGAGGGGCTGGCTGGGGCATGAGAGTACTGAAAGTGTGGAGCCATCTTGCTAGGCAGCAGACAGCCCTCTCACTTTAGCACCCCCATGCTCCAGCCAGCCTCAGTCACCATCTAAACGTGTTTCATTGCACTTAATTACTCTGCAGTATGGACAGTACTATCTTATAGCAGAGTTAATTAATTCACTGTGCTCTAATACCAGCACACGTGTACAGTGATGCTTTACTGCAGAGTTAATTAGCCCAGTGATTCTCAACCTTTTCTGTACCAGGACCCATTTGCCAAGATTGATGGCTTGTCCCGACACAAACCCCCCTGCCTCTGCCAGTGCCTTACCCACAGTCCCCTGCCCCCCCAGGCCATGCTGGGGCCCCTCACTCCCAAACCACAGCCCCCTGCCACCCCAACCCTATCAAAAGGGGGCCCCCAGCTGCCCCCGTCCTACTCAGGCAGGAGTGCAGTGGCTGTGGTGGCTCTGGCTCATGCAGGCGGCAGTGGAGCGAGTCTGGCCTGGCACAGGCTGGAGGAAGAAGGGGAGGCCTGTGGCACACCTGCCCTGGGCTAGGGCTCTTGCGTTGTGCCAGGCAGCCTCATCACAGCCCCTCCTGACCCCTGAGCAGTGTCTCATGGCCACCCTGCCCCCATAAGCATGGGCACCAGCCCTGGTGTTGCCAGCTCAGCCATGCAGCTTCCCCCTGCCCCTTCCCCCACTGAAAGGGCAGGTGCTTCCCCCCGGCCCCCCTGCAGCCTCAGCACCCAGCCACCTTCCTCCAGTACTGGTAGGCACCTGCCCCCTTCCTCCTCCCCCCCAACTGTCTCTAAGCCCTGGCCTTCCAACCCCTGCTCAACATGCACTTACTTGCATCCAGCTGCTGGGGTTCCTCCAATGACCCTGCCTGGCTGCATGCTGGCCATGCCCCAAGCAGCCCCTTGCAGGCTGGAACACTGCCAGCCTGCAAGGGGAAACCTGTGTTTTCATGCATTTTTCTAACACGTACTCACAACCCTTTGAAATATTCTTGCGACCCACTTTTGGGTCACAACCCACAGGCTGAGAAACGCCGATTTTAGTCAACTCTACAGTAAAGCACACATGTAGATGCACCCAGAATGTAACAGATCTCTAGTTAAGACTATAATAATGTATATATCCCAGGCTTGTATGCCAAGCAGCAATATGGCATTAAATCCTTCCAGGTCTATTCTTTCTGGGCATAAATGCATTCAGATTGCTGAAGCAACTCTATAGTGGACCTTTTGCTTCAGAATGTTTTCAATAAACACAACTCACTTGGAAAGTAATACTCCATAATTTTAAATGAACGTGAAAGTTGCTGTTAACAGAAAATGAAAATGAAGTCCTGTTTCTCAGTTGAAGAAAAAATACAGGACAAAGAGCAACAACACAAACTCTCTTTCACAGCACAATAGCATGCTTGAACCCTGACCTCGAGAGACTATGCCTACAGACAGGGAATTTGATCAGCTCATTAGATCTCTCTAAGAACATCTATAAGAATGCCAACTATTAACTTTTTAATATGAAACTTGTCCAATGGAAACCAGGCTGAGGAAAGAAAAACATGACAAATGTTCTTTGCATCTAACGCTTTCCAGTCTCCAAAGGAAGTGTCATCATAATATAAACATGAATCTAAAAACATTTTGTAATTCAATTATAAAAATTATATCATTTTTAGTTGAATTAAAACTTTCAGCTTCCACATGTTCCTACAGTGCAATTGTTTGTTGTTCAAAAATTGAAACTGAAAATGTAACCCAGTGATGGCTCTTCCTTGCACCTATTTTCAGATCAATTTGATAAATCATTCACATTTAAAATGTAAATAGGTGGGGAAAGGCTAAACAGCTAAATAGAAGCATACTAAGAATAAATTAAAAGTTGCTTATTTCAAATTACATACTTGCTATAAGGTGTAAATTAATATTCTGGGACCTTAAATGTTTCCCTCAACATCCAAAAATATCTTACCTATATTGGGGAGCTCCTGTTTTAATATCTCCTATGGTAACTTGAACATCATCCTCATCATCATCGCTGTCACTATCACTGTCATCCTCAGCCACTGTTACCTTCTGCAACAAGAATAAATGTTGCTTAAAGAAAAGGTGCAATTAAATATTTGCAAAGGTAAATATCTTAGACCCAGATATTAATCTCAGTATCTCTGATGGAAGAACAAATACAGATTAACTTAATGTAACACTTGTTTTCTTAAAGATGGCATGTATCCCTTAACATCAAAGGGCTCTAAATAAAAAGACAAGCTCAGCTACTGAGACAGCAATGCTTGCTAACATTTGGATGTACAGGGTCAATCCAATTTAGGCATCGTGAATATCATCTGGTTTTGTAAAATTTAATGAAAGGAAAAAAAGAGAAAAAAATTGGTTTCGACTACTCAAGATCTTTCCCTTCTACCCATTTCATAATACTTCATCTCTACTATCACCTCCTTATTATGGGAAGAACAAAGATAAGCAAGACGATGTTCTCAGCATTTTAATTATACATCTGTGACAAATTAAATACTGAGAGTGATATATACATACATACATGCATTTACACATACACACACATGCGCATGCAGAAATTATATACTACATACACATATAAATAAATAAAAGACTGGTTCAAACAACATTTAGATACATTTTTCAGCAAGTCTAACATTTTATTAAATAAAGTACAATTTTCTGTCTTTTGCCACATGAATATTACATGTTGAATAACTTAATGGATTGAGTATTATCAACAGTCCATAAATAAAGTTAGCCTTTTCTATTTCTGTTAGTCTAGTAGTTATAACATTATGCACACTTTTGGGGTTGCTGCAGGAACTTTATGTAGATAATTCTTATTCTTCTATTTTGCAACTTATTTTCTTTAATGTAAAATCACATGTTTATACTGTCTTCTGTAAAAAAGATACAGATGTAAAATGCCTAATTGCCTGAAGACAGACTGGAAGGGCGGGGGCCAGAAAGCATCAGAAATTAAATACTGAATGTCAGCATTAATGCTCCAATTTAAAATAGTAGCTAGTTACCTCTCTGTATCCAAAAAATATTAAGAATACCACCTACTGACAGTGAGAAACAGCCACAAAGCTTTTAGTGCTTACATGATTTTTTCACCTTACAACCACAGAACATTTTTAAATACTAATTAGCTATCGTTAAGACCCATTTTAAAAGATAAAGTCTCTCCAAAAATGAATCTGTGGAACTTCCATAAAAATACAGAGTCATGCTTTTAGTATTATTAAGAGTCTTCTGGGAAAGACTATACAAAGTAATCTGGCACGATTCTGATACGATTAGGTCCCCTACATGCATATATTGTAGAAGTCAGGCTTTTAAGTTCTGCAGTTCCTAAATTACCATGTTGCTAGCCTTCAAGATATGCCTTTTCCCAAAAAAGCAGCTGCTAAAAAGAAAGTGTCCAATAATGCAAGAAATATGGTAAGAGCAGGTTCTGATTCTTATCAGGTGAAACCAAAAGTAAAATTAGTAAACAAATGAAAAATAGTAAGCAAAAGTGTAAAATAAGTCACTAAACTAAAGCTTTTCATCAATTTATTGTTATCCCAAGTGAAGCAAAACAGATTGCCCAATAATTTGTAATATGTATTTAAAATTACCGTTTTCACTACACCATTTTCAGCAGTCTCCTCTTCTTTTCCAGAAGGAGCTGGAGCACTTAAAATAGAAAATGTAAACTAGTTACTCATGTATGTCTTTACATTAACAGTGAAAGAGCATTGATGATGCAGCATTTTGAAACATAACTAAGCACTCAGCTGTTTTTTATATACCTGCCAAATGAGGAATTTCTATGTGATCACCTAACATCACCTGAACAGTATTCTAAGGTGAGACAAACTCTGTTAACTAGATGCCCACTGAGGATTTACAAGTAGCATCATGTTTGCATCCTGCTCCTACTGAAGCCAAACAGAGCTTTTCTATCAAGTAGAATGGGAGCAGGACTGGGGCTTCTAGGCACCTATACATGAGTAGCAAGACTGCTCTGACGTGCTCTAATTACTCGATTAATTGAGTCTGCTGGAACGTGGTAATTCCCATGTTCCAACAGATTCCAGAGTCTCATGCATCAGCATCCCCATGCTTAAAAATGGCAGTGGGGGTGATTTAACTAAAGCACTCCCAACACCATTTTTAAGCATGAGGACACTGATACACAAGAGGCTCTTGAGCCAATCCAATTAAAAGCACCCAATAGGCAAGGACAGAATTTTTTCAAGCTAGATGCATCTTCCATTAACACTGATAAAAAGATTATCTTTAAATTCCCAAGACTGCTTTGAAAAAATTCAATCCAATCATCCTTCTATCCAGTGAAGCAGTATTAGCTATTTTAGACAAAACATTCATTTAGTCTTTAAAACTGCTGTAAACTGATGTGTAAAGTTTACCAGTTTCAAAACAATTGTTTTAAGTTATTATGACACTATGAAATTAATAAAAGTTAAACCACTGACTAGTCAATACTTTATACTACTGCTTCTAACACAGGAAATATTTCAGTTACTCAACCTATTTTCCAAAGCTGTATTGACACTGTTGCTTCATAAACACTGTAAGATCAACATGCATTTGACAGCTGAAAGAGAGACTGTCGTTATATAAAGACCCCTTAAAACTACGTTCTATAATCCCATCTTCTCCTTGGATGAACAGCTAGATACTGGAATACAAATTCAGTCCTAACTTTCACTAGTTTCAATAAGAGTTGCACCAGTTTGTAATCAGGACTGAACTTAATCCAGGTATTCAAACCTGAGCATTTCACATTACTGCCCACCAAAATGATAGATTAGCTCAGGAGTGGGCAAAATGTGGCCTGTGAGCTGGATGCGGCCTGCCAGGCCATTCTATCTGGCACATGGGGCCCCTTAAAGATTTAGAAAATGAATATTTGCCCCTGGCTGCCTGTCATGTGGCCCTTGATAGCTTGTCAAAACTCAGTAAGCAACCCTCCTCCTGAAATAATTGCCCATCCCTGGACTAGCTAATGGCATTCAAGTAAATCATCCAGTTGAATGCTTATGAATGGTGCTAGAATCTCAAGAATAGATCTGTTACAGTATTAGTAACCTTCTCCACAGTGTCTCATCCATGACTCGATGGAAGCCATTCTAGGGCGAGAGAATAATTTGTTACACAGAGGGCATGTTAACAAGAAACGCTATGGTGCAGTAGTGATTCCAGGCACAAACCGTGACGGCAACGCTACTGTGCAGTACCTCGCTGTTACTGCACAGCAGCATCTAAAAAAGCCTAAGTCTGTCTCTCTGTCCATAATGCTTTATTCGCACTCTGGCTGGCTGATGGAAACAGCCAATCAGAGTGCTCCAAGAGTGTTGGGGAGCACCGCCATGATTTTGAAGCTGGGCTGAGGACCGGACAGAGGGTGGGGGAACCGGGGCCAGCAGGGACTTCAATTAGCCTTTTGGTGTACTGCTGACCAGTAGCTACTGTAAACTGTCTCACTTCTTGTAGCAGATGATGATTTTAATTGCCATGCAGCTAACATACATTAAGAGAATAAAATATCTGTTGTGATTTTAATCATTACTTTACTACAAAGCCTGAATCATTTACAGATATGACAGGCAACTAGTCTAGCAATCTTTAATAACTAAACACAAAATGTATTTGCCACAGAAATCAGTTTCAATGAGCACAAAGATATTTTTTTCATTGCACAAAAGTTAAATCCGTATCAGAGAATTCTTTCAGCGTTTCCTTTCAGAAGCTGCATCCAACCCTAACAAAATTAATCCTTTAATGCAGTTAGGAACATACAACTTTGTCACAAGAGTCTCTGCCTCCTGAGTCAGAAAGTTCAGTCCCCTACTACTGCAAGAAAACTCCCTTCCATAAAACTGATCAAGTCTTTAACCAAATTAGCTTGTGAAACCCTTGTCTGGATGATTTGTGGAAGTAAAATCAACAGCAGCAAGATTAATAAACCAGATAATTGTACTGAGGGTCTAAGATGTGAAAGTTACCTTTAAAAGATGTCAAATCTTACTTTAGGAACAAGCTCATGAATATCAAATGAAGAAAAAACACCAACAAAAACTGATAAAAATGGATAGCTGTAGGCTAATTTTTAAATTATTTTTTAATACCATATTTATCATTCTCATGCCTTTTATTTGCTCACAGCACATGTATTTACCTGCACTGAAAATGCAGCTGCACACACGGAAAACTGAGTGATATGTTCACTTCACCGGGGCAATATGTAGGGGGTGCACGTGCACCCCCTGCAAAAAGCTGCCACCGACACTGCTGGCAGCACCTGCGGGCAGTCATCACTTGCCACCCCGCCACCGGCAGTCCCTGCTCACCCCTGGCTGCCGCTGCCTGTGGCAACTGCCGGTGGTCACTGACCCATGGTCAGCACTCGCTACCCCCGTCCTACCTCAACAGTGCCAGCGGTGTCTGCAAGAGCTCCCCGCTCACTGCTGCTGCGGCCACTGCAGCCATGCCCTACCAGCCGCTGGGGGCACACACCATTCATGCACTTCACTATAGCTTCTCTACTGAAATGTTGCACCTACTTAGCAAATTTTCAGTAGATACGCCTCCCACAGTGATCCACTATGTGGCATTCTCCTTCATTTTGCAGCACTAGGTGCCCGAAGTAACACAACTGTTTACTTTGGCCTTCATTTTCTATCAGTGTGGACAGCATCACCACAATGTCTGTTACTTTGAGTTGCAACCTCAGACACATCTTCAAATAGATACCCTCTCTGCACCCTCACATCCATGCAATGTTTAAGGCCCCAAACAGATGCTGCACTTATTGCACAATTAAGGTGTTAATCAAATGATACTGTAACAAACCACATGTTCAAACAATTTATCATACTGTAAAGCAGCCTAGCTCCCACAAAGATGTTCCACATGTATCACTGAACATCCCAGGGCTGGTTTACATTGTACTTCACATGAATTTGGGGCATGGTAAGGCTGCACAATGCAACCCAATCCCGGGCTGCGTGGTAGGACTTTAAGCTTAATAGAATGCAGTTATCCCACTGTCTCCTTAGACACAGGACATTTAAAGCTGCACCATGCAGATCTATGTCAGATTGCACAACTGGCTTTAAATTTGCAAGCATGGGGGTACCCACTGGCTTCTGCATGCTGGGACATTTGAAGTTGGCCATGCAGCCCAGAGAAGTCCCTAATGTCAGGCACTGCTGAGTGGCCTTAAAGGCTCTGGGTACACAACAGGATCAGAAGGATTTTATCCCAGATTCCAAAAATCATGTGTCCTTTCATGGCAGATCTTGAACATCTGGCATGACAGGACGCGTGGTTTTGGGGATGCAGGACAAAATTCTTCAGGTCTCAGCACATGTTTAAGTGGACATATGCCAGGGACTCAAGTCTTGCAGCTTCTTTCTGCAGAATAGCTCTATGATAGCACCTTTACTATTTTTCTATGCAGCTAAAATTATTTTCAAGGCTCTCATCCTCCCACATCTTGATTATACTTAGTCTTCTCTTTGAGTACGACAAAAATAATCTCTAGTCCCAGAAATATCCAAACTTAACATGTTGATAATTTTCGTAGTTCAGGAGTATGGGTCAGATTTGGCCCCAGTAGTGACCTGGCTCTGGTGTTGACTGACATGCTGCATGCACCAGACTGGCCCTGCATGCAGGACATGTTCAGCACATGATGACTGCTGTAGCCAATCTGGGAACTGTGCTGTGCTCTGGGGAAGGCACCAGGTGCAGTGTGGGTCTCAGACTGGCTGGAGCGGGTACCACATTTGGTGTGCATCCTAAACAAGCTCCACATGGGCACAATGTGCAGTCCCAGACTGGCCAGAGCAGGTGCTTTACATGCTGATTCAGAATGAGGGTGGGGTGGGAGCACAGGAGCATGGCAGGATCTGACTTTTGGGGTTTGCCCCTCACCATTCATCTGACTTACGAACCACTGATCTAGCAAGCAAGGCCAGGTGAGTTTTACACCCCTGTCCCAATTAATTCTCTTGCCCAGGTCACCTCTCTCTACTGGCTCCCCCTTCATCAACTCTTCAAAAATGTTGGCTCGTCTTTACAGCCTAACCCTATCCTCTCTATCATTTCTCATTCAACACTGAAAGGCTAACTCCTATCTCCAGTGAGTCCATGATGTCAACCTCTGGCACATACTTCTTAAGATTTTCAAGCAAGCACCTTCATACTTTTTGCCATGATGCTCCTTGTGCCTTGCAGGGTGTTAAAGGGAATTTAGTCAGGCTTTTGGCCTTTTTGACTAGAAATACAGACAGAGACCAGAAGTGCTAATACTGCTTATTTCAGTTATATGTTTTGAGATAAAAAAAATTCCTACATTATTACTCTGTGCACAGGTGTCCAATTAAGTATGTTTGTTTTAGTTTCTTCAAGGTCGTATTTTTTTTCTCTTTATCTGTCTTAAATATAAAAATGCTTAGAAACTTAGGGAGGAGGAGGATTCCTTTAAAACAGACAAGTGAGTGATTCCCCTTGCTGTGTGGAATTCTCCCTGTAATCACAGTATAGCCCTCAATAAAGAAAAGCTGGCTCTGTCAGTTCTGATTCAACCACAACGCGAAGTTTGATTTCTTCCACAAGGGGCACAACCAAAAAAAACCATCTCATTGCCCTTCATATCCAATCTTATAACTCTCCTTTACTGTAATGTTTACCAAAAGAGGTGGTAATGGCATGCTGAAAATAAACTATTTCTACAGCTTAACAAAATGATTGACCTTGTTTCACTGTTTTCTAGTGCTTCCCCATCTTCCTCTATCTTTCCTACTGCTCACGGTGTAAGCTGCTTGAAGCAAGACTGTCTTTGTATTCTACGCTTTTACAGTGCCAGGCATTGTAGGGTTCTAACCCATGACTGGGACTCCTAAACAATAAAGTAATATCAATAACGTAGAAATGGGTTTTAAACTCCAGTATGACAAATTAAACCTTTGAAAAAGTTTCTGAACTATGAGAACAATAGGCAATGAAACAAGTTGCCAAGAAAACTGGAATCTCCTTCATTGGAAGTTTTCAAGAAGAGACTGAATAAGCAATTTTCTGGGAATGTTTAGAGCACCTGCTGCATTTGTGCAGGGGATTGGACCAGATAAACCCTGATGTCCTTTTCAGACCCATGATTCTATATGTTGATCCATTCCACAGAGTTATCTCTGCAATTAAAAACAAATAAAAATGAACTTTCACAGTAACGCTCAATTGTCTGTCACAATTTTTTCAGTAAAACCATTTAGTTACAAGGGTCATCAGACAGCAGATTGCATAAATTATGCGAAGGAAAATTTCTAACGCACCAGCATTAGACATTCAAGTGGCTGAAATTTCACAAGAACTAAGTGTGAATTTGAAACAAGCATCATTTTTGCACATCTACGTTTCCATGTTCACAGTTCTCACACTCACCTGGCCTTTTCTTCTTCTGGTCTCTCCACTTCATTTTCATCTATGAAAAAAAATATATACAATATGAAAGATCCACTTCTGAAAAAAATACAACATGCAAGAAACTATATGGCGTTGAAAACAAGGGTCTGTATCAATTGACTGTGCGCTAAGCAATCTCGTAAAAACATAAGAATTGCCATTTACTGCGGCAGACCATAGGTATCCCGTGTCACCCAGTGGCAGGGAGTGGATGCCAGAAGGGTGAGTGAACTGCGTATGACCAGGGCTTTTTTCCACTCTTCCTCACTTGTAGCCTCCAGCATTTAAGGTCTAGGAAGCTCTAATTCAGAGGTTGTATCCCTAACACCAGTGCTCAATAGGTACCTCCTTTGTCCCCCTTTGGTGCACCGTTAAGTAACACATCTGGATGTGGCTGTCAGCACCCGCAAGGAGCCCTCTGGAAGCCAACAGAGCTCCACAGGGACAGACCCCTGCAGTACAGGGGCTTGGAGCCACACAGCACCCTCATGTGCAGGCGAGTGACCCAGCGTTTGACAGATTTTAAACCATGTCCAACCTTCTTTATATCATTTCTTCTTATTCAAACTGCGTGAAAAAAGCAACAGTGGGGTGTTTGGGTTCCAGTCCTGCGGCCTGAGGGCCTAAGACAGCTCGCAGCTCTTTACAAGGGGACAGGCTTTGGAGAGAAGATGGGAGTGGGAGATAGACACCGGGATCCCTCCCTGGCCAGCTCCAGCACCTGTATTTACACGGGGGGCGCACAATTAGGGCAGCTGCTGACTTGCAACTAGGATCTGTGGCCTAGGAGAAAGGAGCCATTTCGCACAGCCCGAGCAGCGCAGGGGGAGGCCCGGAGGGCCGCGAGGGTCGGGGCGGCCCCCGGGGGGAGCTGTGCCAGCTGCTCTGGGTCGAGGAGGGAAGAAGGGAGCGACCCCGGCTCCGGGGTGAAGCAGCCCCTGCCAAGCCACGTGCCCACCCCTGCCCGGAGCAGCGGCAGGTGCGGGTGCGGGCCCGGGTATGGGGGGAGCGGGGGCGCCGGGGCCCGCGGGAGGCTGGGCCGGAGGAGGGGACTGGGCAGC